TAAAACCAAATCCCCCCCCCCCCCCCCCAAAAAAAAAAAAAAAAAATTAAAAAAAAAAACCCCAACTTGTTGGCCTCTTCTGCCCCTACCGGGGAAGTTATAGCATTATAGTTATCAAAAGGAACAATTTCTTTTCCAATACCCTAGCAGCACCCTCAACCCTGTGGTAATTTAGGGCTCAACTCTTTATCCCCAGCAAGACTTTTCACAGGGATTTCAGACTCATCATTTTTAGAAAAAACAAGAGGAGAAGAAGGATCTAAGAACCCACACCCTATGTCCTTCATTCCACCCCTGGATTTTCTGCAAACACTTAACCAGATTATTGAGTTCCTCCACTTGATATGATTCTTCAGGCTTAGTAGGCCCAAGGTGACTGCTGGACTGTATCTCATAGTCAAGTCTTACCTGCTTTTCCATTGTCTCTGGATCAATCCCCATTTCATCAAAGGACTCCCCTGCGCCATAAGTAGCTAACTCACTAAGGTCAGAGTAGATACCCCCTATGAATCGCACTTCATCCCCATTGGAACGTCCATCATCAATAACTCTTTCCAATTGAATTGAGATTTCTTCCACCCCCTTTTGATCCTTCGTTTTTTCCGTCTGAATCATCCTATCTCCACTGCCATGGTGAACGGTCGACGAGGCGTGCAGAAGAGGGAAAGCCCTAACCCCTTCTTCACCTTCTCCATTCGTCTTAACATATTTCATCTTTGTATTTCCTTTCGGATCGACCCACTCCCTTTTTAAAATGTCATAGTTTATGGGTTTAAGTTTAGTAATTCCAGATTTACAACCTACAGAAACACCAGGGCCATTATCAATCAAACACTTTCTCCATGTAGTTATTGCCTCTAACCACTTCTAAATTATCCTTCTAGTAACTCGTGGCTGATTTAAAATTTGAAATCGTGATTAATGGACCACTAGGAAGCATGAATACTTGCCGGGGGTCCGCCGTGGCAGTGTCGGACACGTGTCCAACACAGATACGCATGGGACACGGCCGGACACATGTCCGACACTTGTCTTGTACAGTAGATTTGAATTTTTTTAATCGGATATGTGGGGGGATACGGGAGGGACACGGGAGGATACGGCAGGATACTTTTGTTATTTTAAAAACTTAGGGGGCTGAAATCGNGGACACATGTCCGACACTTGTCTTGTACAGTAGATTTGAATTTTTTTAATCGGATACGTGGGGGGATACGGGAGGGACACGGGAGGATACGGCAGGATACTTTTGTTATTTTAAAAACTTAGGGGGCTGAAATCGAAAAAAAAAGGTAAAGCTACGTCGTTTGGCTTGAAAAAGAAAAAACAAAAGGCAAAAGGCTAAGTCGATGGCCAGCCTTCGACATTTCAGTGTGTGTGTGTGTGTGTGTGTGTGTGTGAGAGAGAGAGAAAGAGAGAGAGAGAAGTGGAGGNTGTGTGTGTGTGTGTGTGTGTGTGTGTGTGTGTGAGAGAGAGAGAGAGAGAGAGAAGTGGAGGGAAGAGGAAGAGNGAGAAGTGGAAGGAAGAGGAAGAGGAAGACTAACCTGCGACTGCGACCTGGACCTGCGATTTGCTGCCCAGTGTCCGGCAGGTTCCTCTTGTTGCTTCAAATTTTTTTTTCAGGTCTGCTACTGGTACTCCTCTTTTTTGTTACAATTTTTAGATTTTTTTTGTTACTTCTTCTGGTCTGTGTGGAATTTTAAAAAATTTGATTGGATTAGGGTTTTAGGGTTTTCAAATATTGGTTTTTAGGGTTTTAGGGTTTTAGGTTAATTTGATTAGGTTTTTTTGTCTGCTGTGTTACTGCCTTCTGTGCTGCTGGGTTTTTTTTTGATCAATCTGTGCTGCTGCCTTCTGTGCTATGTTGCTGCCTTTGGGTTTTTTTTTTTGGTCTGCTGTGTTGATACCTTCTGTGCTGCTGGTTTATTTTTTTTTGGTCATCTGTGCTGCTGACTTCTGTGCTAGTGTGCTGCTGCCTGCTGGTTTTGAATACCAAAAATTGCTTGCTAGTGTGATGCTGCCTGATGGTTGTTTGTTATATATATAAAAATATATATAATTATTTTAATTAGTCGTATTTTCGCCGTACCCGTGTCCTATATTTTAGGATTTTGCCGTATCGCCGTATCGGTATCATATCGAATACAACACCTGTGTCCGTATCCGTACTTCTTAGATGGACCATTATCATCTGGGGCTTTGTCCTCATTAATTGCAATTTCTACTTCATTAATTTGAGGCCCCATCACCTGACCTGAATTCGAAGAATCTTAACCATCACTTTCTGGGTAATTTTTAGTTGCACCATTATCCTGTGCACTTTCCGTTATCCTCCATCCAAGTAAGCAGTTAACTCCTCTCCCATCATCTTCAACCTGTGGATGGGTGTACGAAAGTTAAGTACACCCCTTCATGTTCAGACAACTGTTATCACGTCTGCCCTCTCTTCCCCACCAACCTAGAACCCTAACTCTTACCTTAAAGCCTTTACGTTCCAAATAGAGACTCAAAGATGTAGGAAGAAGACCTGTATTTGGTTTAGCAACCTTTATCTAAGCTTCAAACAAATTGCACAAGTACATCGTATCTTTATCGACCTCCAGAAATCCTCCACAACAATCTCCAATCTTTTGAAAAACTTCCTTCTTCCATAAATGAAAAGGTAGTCCATCAATCGCAATTCAGCCACCGAAGAAGGAACCCTACTGCGCACTGTGTTTACTGCAGGAGACCATCTCCTAAGTCTAACCACCATCCCACCTTCCACATGATACTTCTCGAATTTACAGATATCCTTGATCATAAGCTTTTTTTTTTTTGGGAGCAGTGATCATAAGCTCACTATCGCAGAAAAAAATAGCCCATCTGCTTGGAAAGATTGGATTTTGAACCTTATTTTCCACACTCTTTCCAAAGAAGACAGAATTTTGCTCTAAGAATCAAATACACACAATTGCACTGCTCCATTTTTCATAATCCACTAGCTCCCTGTTATCCTTTGAAGGGATCCAAACTGGATCCTTGAGCAAATCCTTTCAACAATTTCTAGTGTCCCTGTTTTTAGATTCAGAATCTCCCCCGTTTTTTAATTCCTCGTTGTCCTCTTCTTACCTGCACTGTACCACCTTCTGTACCTCCAAAGAAGCGACTGCATCCCATGGAAGAAGCTTCCAAGATCATATTACCCAGTTTCCTCCACCCCCAGCAGTCCCTGCCTTGAGGGACCACCAAACAGCTAAGTCTCCCATTCCCTTACTTTTTATAAATTCTCTGAAATTTTCCTCTATTATTGCTGTTCATCTCCATCCATAGAACAAAGGAGCTACCTCTGAACTTTCTGAACCCAAGTTCTGCTAGCATTCCCACCTTCTTCAAGGAATCCCCCATTCATCTAGCATAGTCAGCCGGAACCTTAATATTGAAGCTGATCTTCCAACATTTCTCTGTAACGAAGGTGACCTTGAAATGGCTCCAGTTCTTCAACTAAGAACCATTTTCTTTCAAGCCTTGACCATGATGATGATGAATCCATCTCAACGACAGAATTGTTCTTAGCTTAATGGTTCAGATCACTCCTCAGAGACCCGCCTGGTATCTAGAACCACTACTCCACAATCCACAAATGGAATATTAATGCCTCCCTTTTTTAGTATTGAAGATGCTCAAGGATCAGCAACTGTCCATTGGTCTATTGAGCTAGAAAATCACTTTATAGACATAATGGTAGAGCAAGATCGAGGATCTAAACAACAACGTTTGCAAGAACAACATGGAACAATATAAGAGTTGAGTTTTATAAAAGAACTAGGCTGAAATACAATATGAAGCAATGTCAAAATAAGTAAAATCAGTTAAGGACTCAATATATAACTTTACAAAGCTAAAAATGATAACCACGGGTTTTGGATGGGATCTAACCTTAGGCACTGCTACTACTCCGGATTATGTTTGGTATCGATACTTAAAAGGTAAAATTATTGTTTTTAATTTTATATATGGATTTATAACAGTCCTCGTTGTTCTTTAGTATTTAATGACCTATATTTATGTAATTGTAGACNTACTTAAAAGGTAAAATTATTGTTTTTAATTTTATATATGGATTTATAACAGTCCTAGTTGTTCTTTAGTATTTAATGACCTATATTTATGTAATTGTAGACACATCCAAAAGCAAAGAGGCTTCGTACGGCAGGTTGTTCTACATATGAGAAGCAAGTAACCATATTTGGTGGCACTCAAGATGTCGCAGATAGTGATGATAATAATGAGGAAACCTCATTTTGCCTTAACCCACAAACAAGTGATGTACATGAGGAGAGAGAGGAAGGAACAAGTCATCAAATAAATCGTGGTTGTGCAGCAAGTCCAACTTCAAGTGGTGCTCGTCATGTGAGGAGTCAATCATGGACATCAAAAATGTTGGATGCCATTAGATCCTTGGCTAAGGCATCCTATCCTAGGACAAATGTGTTGTCACAACAACAATCTGGTGGTGTGGGTTCGAGTTCTGAACACTACTCAATGGCAACATGCATCAAAGTCCTTGAGGGTATTCAGGATGTTGATATGCCAACATACTTGAAGGCAATTGAGAAATTGCAGAGCAAGGTATGGAGAGAGACATTTATTGAGATGTCAGCATTGCGTCGAATTGGGTGGTTAGCTAGTCTGTAGTGTATTGCTTGTTGGTTCTTGTTACTTGTGACATGGAGGTCTTCTTATAGCTTTGCAATTGGAAAATTATGTTGGAGAATGGTTGCCTTGTTTACGTTATCTATTATCCATGACATGTTACTTTTATCTTTGTGTTTTTTATCTTTAACAAAAATAAATTTGTGTTTTTTATATTTAAAATTGGTAACTCGAAATCTATGGCTATTAGGGGATGACTCAAAAAAATTACATAAAGTAGTTTTCATTTTATCGTGTTTAGTGGGAAGATAAGTTCTTTAATAATTATAGAAAATTATTTTTTAAAAGAATTTTTAATAAAATTTTAATCCGATATGATTTCTATTTTTTTATTTTTGAAAATCACTTTTCGAAAAATATCAATCAAACATACTTTTTATTTTTATGATTTTGTTTTTAAGCAAAAAACAAAACTTTATCAAAATTGTTTGTTTTACTTTTAAAAAAAAAAAAAAGTACTTTCCAAAAGCATTACCGAACGGTGGACTGCTTCGGATTGATTGAATGAATCTTGCTGGAAGCTTTGAACATCATTTTAATTACAATCTCACTTTGCTTTGGGCTTTCCAGTTAAAAATTTTGAAAGCCCTCAATTTTAGTCGCTCTAAATACCTTNGATTGATTGAATGAATCTTGCTGGAAGCTTTGAACATCATTTTAATTACAATCTCATTTTGCTTTGGGCTTTCCAGTTAAAAAATTTGAAAGCCCTCAATTTTAGTTGCTCTAAATACCTTATAAAGAATTCCAAATTTCACGAGGGTAGGAGGCTGATGACATTACTTGAAAGTTGTTTACGTTTGTTCGAAATTCACCCATAAATTGGACTTCTGATATGGTTGAGTTTCAAAGGTTGCACCAACCTGAAGGAACTCTCAAGCAGCATTTGCAAGTTAATATTGCTTGAACATCTAAATCTCATTGACTGTTCAAATCTACAAGAATAGCTTGAGCATTTGAGGAATGTGCAATGCCTTAGGTAGCTTCTTGCTGATGGAATTGCAACTAAACATGATGGTGCGAGAAACAGTGAGTTAAAAGGATCTGTGGTATATGATCAACCACAGAGTAAGGAAAAAAGACTAGAGTGTAAGACCATAGTAATATAACATGTGCTTCATTAATCAAACCCATCCACTTAATAAACAATTTTCCTGTAGATAAACAACTCAATCATCCACTTAATAAACAATTTTCCGGTAGATAAACAACTCAACGCAGTATAACAACATCCAAGGCTCCAGATCCTCAAGTGTCTTTACTACACAAATATAATGACATATGACNAATTTTCCGGTAGATAAACAACTCAACGCAGTATAACAACATCCAAGGCTCCAGATCCTCAAGTGTCTTTACTACACAAATATAATGACATATGACAAAGTGTACAAACTGATGTGAACACCTCTACATCAAACTAGATTGTTCAGTGGACCACCTCTTATATTCCAAGAACCTGAAAAAAATAACAGTTGAGGGGGTGAGCAAACCACACGCTCAGTGAGTATACTTGAGACATATTAAAATGAAACGCATAAGCACTAAATAATTATAATCATATATCACATACACATTTAAAATGAAATTCACATTAAATATCCATCATCCAATACCCAACATCCAAATAACAATATCCAATATCTACTAACCAATATCCGATAACCAAAAATAGTTAACGCTATCCGTTTTCACTCGAGAGTCTCGATAATTAAATCGCTACTGTTTTCGCCCAGCATTTATGCCTGGCAGTCTCAGCTATTATATCACTTCCATTTATGCCTAACANACTGTTTTCGCCCAGCATTTATGCCTGGCAGTCTCAGTTATTATATCACTTCCATTTATGCCTAACAGTCTTAGCAACCACATATTGGTAAACAACCACAGTCAACTCAACTCAAGTATTTGAACCATAGCCAACACCAATCCACAATTCTTAAGTCATTGATTCACAATCTAGCCATTTACAATTAAATATAGCTAGTAACAAACAATCCTCATTTCACAATTCATAACTTACCAAATAATCTTCACACTATTTCATATAAGTATAGCTAACAAACACATAATCACATTTTCAATCAATATGAATCAATACACTCAGCTCGGGTTAAATCCAAACCCAGATTCATTCTCCTTGTGTATTCTAAGGTGATTTTGACACTGACGTCATCACCTGAAAATCTAACATACATCATCACAAGACACATAAATATCATTCTCAACACACAATTGTTATGCTACATATGCAAAAATGATTAATCGGCTTAACCTGATACTGTCCCATTACCCCCCTTCCATTCATTATAATGTACCCAAACCCTTAAGTTTAGTGATGTATTTGGAGATAAATAAAATTAACTAAGATTGATTTGAACCCTTTAAAATGTTTTAAATAAGGTTTGAGGTTGAGTGGACAATGAATTACAAATATTACAGAAAAAAAAAACAGTGAAAATTTCATGTTTCTACCGGTAGTAACTTCTTTCAGAATGTCATTCTACTAGTAGAACACCATATCCTACCGATAGAACTTCACAGAATATCATTCTACTAGTAGGATACCACTTCCTACAGGTAGAACTTCTTACTGAATGTCGTTCTACCAGTAGAACATCACTTTCTACCGGTAGAATCCTGACAGAAACCCTTCTTCATTTCTCCTTCATCCTCAACCTCACAACATTTAAACACGTACTCCTACATTACAATCCCCAAATACATAATAATTCACATCAATTAACAACCCAATTACACAAAATTTATAAACCGAAACCAAACCCATAATCGAAATTTACAACACCAAAACACAAACTTCTTCCTAAGTTTAAAACAATGGAATACATAGAATAATTTGAAAAAACTCTTACCGAAGGAAATCATTCCCTTAAATTCTTCAAGAAGAACTAATTTTAATTCGAAAACACAAGAAAGCAAATTCCGTTTCGTGCCAATTTCGAACCAATGAGCTAGAACTCACTATCGAAAAACTTCCCTCCCCACTCCTCTCTTTATTTCCTTTTTCCTTCCTCTTCTTCTTTGCCAATTTTTTTGCCGTCACTCTCTACTCTCCCTCTCTCTCTCTCTCTCTCTCTCTCTTTCTTTTTCCTTCCCCCTCTCTCTCTCCCAAAAGTTAAGATAATCACACATACATATATTGGGGGAGGGCTAAGAGTCTCTTGTGACTCACCCCTTTCCCTCAAAACCACTTGGATCCCTTTAAGTTCTACTTAATCACATATTTAATATTTCACTTTTTGCTATTCACCAAATCGCACCACATAATTTATAATCACTTATAAATTACACCCAAAACCTTTTTTTCATCAAACAATTTAACTCAAAACATTTCGTCATCAAATAAATCAACCCTCAGAGTTAATATTTAAAAAATATAACCTGACACCCATACTTCCAATTACTGTAATTTTAACCCCTAAATTAATTATCATAAATTACACATTAACCACCAACATTTATAAAATGTTATGCCTTTATAAGTTCGGGTCTCACAGTAAGTGGTTCACCAAGTTGAATAGTTAGGCCAGTTCATTGTCAATGGAGTCTCTTGCTCCTCTACTTGTTGTAATGCTGAGCTACAATGGGTTAAGCTGAACTTTGATGTATTGTGTCATCAAAACAATTAACATTTTCGTGCAGACTTTTGAAGAACATTACAAGCTTATCGCTACTTGGATGTAATCAAAATTCACTGGCTAAATCTTGGTTTTCTCTCATATCATCTTGGGTATCACCATGAAGACATCCCGATTCCGTCAGATTTATTCAGTCTTCTATTTCAGGTTTATGTTCCTTAAGAAAACTAAATCTGAGTGGCTGTAACTTGTGCGAAGGAGATATTCCAGCTAAGTTGGGGAGTTTTGTTGGAAAAATGGTTGTTGAACAAGTTATTTTGGAGTAACTTTGGGCTCAAATAAAATGGGACCTATGGATCTGGATTTGGATCGAGCTTAGTCTTCTAACTGGAATTCAAAATTTCTTTCGTTTTTTTTGAATTTGGTGTCGAATTTGATTGTCTGTTCACACTCCAATAATATATTTTTCTTTCGTTACTGCTTGTTTAATAGTGTCTATTCAATTTGACTAGACACATCAAACAGTGGTGTCTCGTGTCTATTCGGGCAATTTAAACAGACACAAAAGGTTTAAAGGACTCCTTTATAGCCATTTTCAATCATCCAAATTCCTGAATACTGCATTCAATTTTTTTCTCTCTCTACATACTGCATTATTGTTTTGTTCAGTTAAAGTACAAAGTACAAGATGTGTTCGTTGATTTTTGAAGATTAAAGTGTTGTTTCTTCAAAAATGAAATCCGTTCTAAAATAGAGACAGTTGCTTATTAACTTGGAGTAACAAGAGGGAGCAAATTTGTCTTAAGAAAACTGTAACTACACAGGACTTGGATTCTTATTTGTGTTATTTTATTTTGCTATTATGCATTCTTGTAAGTGCACCATTTCTGTGTTTGTTTATACATTCTATTTATTATAATTAGTTTTTTTTATCACGTTTATATAATTAGTTCGCATGTAACGATATACATAGATTTAGATTCGCTATTGTAATTAGTTCTTAATTTCTAATTATATATTGATAAAAATCTCAAGACAGATTTGAAATATTTTTATAATTAGATTAGTGACTGTTATAATCCAAGTCGGAATTTTTTATTCTATTATATTATTGCATTACTTTATTAAAATCAGAATATAATTTGGTTACTATTGTGTAACAAAAATGGCTACAAGTAATTCTGTTCTTACTACCGTTGTTCCTAATATTGTGAGTATGTCTCATGGAGAGAAACCCGAGAAATTCAATAGCTCGGATTTCAAACGTTGGCTACAAACGATGTTTTTCTATCTCACCACCCTGAACCTTGCAAGTTTCTTAACAAAGATGTTTTTTCAATTTATGCGAATGAAACTAACAATGAAAATGTGGCTCCTATGGATGCTTGGAAGCATTCAAATTTTTTGTGTATAAATTAAATCTTGAACGGACTAGACAATGTGTATAGTGCTCTCAAATCTACGAAATAACTTTGGGAGCCTTTGAACAAAAAATACAA